TGGGGTTTTGTGTGACCCACAGAAAAATGGTGCAGACACAGAAGTGGTGATGAGCTGAGACGGTGTATGGCTGGACAGTGGGCCCTGGCTTGAAAGCACCCAGTTGATGCTAATACGAGGTAATTTGAAACCCTGGGCTCCATCGGTGCTTCCCAAGGAGATCCGCCTGGGAGGCTGACTGTAATGCAGATTCGGATTTGGTGGGCTGAGCCAGAGCCAGACCAAGCTGCTGTGTCTAGAGGGCCAGCTTGGGCTGCAAGGCTCCAGGGGCCTCCTCTTCTGTGTCCCATCCGCCTCACACCGTTCCGCAATGATTATTCTAGCAGTACAAGCAGAAATCTTAGAAAAGGAAATCGTGAAAATTCGCAGGCCATCTTAACACCAAGGAGTTTTAAAAGATTCATGTGAAAAGCACGTCTCAAAGCATGCCACGTAAAAGATCGTTATTTGACTCCATTATGAAATGATGGCTACCCAACCTGAAAAAGTGATTAGGAAGGTTTTGCTATGGTGGGGAAGTGTTTGATACGTGAAGCAAAAGTGAAACAAATCCTGAATAGTTTTAACTTTGTACAGAAATATGTAGAGGAAGACAGCAAAATGTAAAATTGCAATGATTTTCTTCTGGACTTTACATATTTAGCCATTTTCTGTAGCGAGCACCTGTTAACAGGGACAGACTGTTTCTCCACCTTGTGACATGCAGAGCACCTTCGCCAGGACGGCTCCTAGACCCCCCCCCCCCAGCCCACATTTCTCATATGCTCACTTCATGTGACTGCCTCAGTTCCTGTAAATCAAAATACTGTCTGATTAATAACATTCAAAACACTTTGCTTCCAGCCCTGACTTCCAGACTTGAATGTTGTTACGGTTAGATCTAAAACATTCCCCCCAAAGCCTCATGCATCCAGACCTGGGGTTCTGCAGTGACTGGATCATGGGGGTGCTCTGCTCATCACTGGATGAATCCACTGATGAATGTGCAGCTGAACTGCGCTGCAGAGTGGGCCTAGACAGAGGAAGTGGTCACTGTAGTGTTCATAGAAGTTATCTAGTGCTCTGCACTTCCTGGCTGCCAGGGCCTCAGAAAATGTCCTCTGTCTACCTTTATAACCTGCCACTTCTACCTTAGAGCCAGGTGACCACGGACTGAACCTTGTCAAACTGAGCTCACACTGTGGGTGTCAGGTATTTTTCTCCAGCAATGGAAAGCTGAGCAGTACAAACATGCACAGGTGTCTGGTGAATGCATCCCCTAGGTGTTACCCACAGTTCAAACAGTGCCCTTAACTTATGCCTTCAGAGCTAGTCCCCTTTCCTGTAGACTTCCAAGACTTCTCAGTGTATCAGCAATACTGTTTACTCAGGTGTAGAAGGCAAAACAGGTGCTACCCATCTCCAAATAACACAAGCTCCTTAATTTCAATAGACCCATCATAAATTGAAAATATGCTGAATAAAACCTTTAGACATTGGGAGTGGTAGTGATAAGGTGCTTGCTTTGCACATTTGAAGTACGGGGTTTAATCCCTAGCACCACAGAAAGGAAAAAGCACCATTCAGGAGGCTCAGACAGGATTGCCAAGAATGCAAGACCACAGAGCTACACAGTGAGTTTAAGGCCCCCCTGGACCAAAGTGAGGCCCTGGCATAAAAAGGGGGGAGGGATTAAGTACACCGAAACCACTGACCTTTGTCACTTAGCATAGTACCCACAGCCTTGGTGAGCTACCCTCAGCATCTTATGGCTTACTGGGAGCTGAGCCCAGAATTTTATTTATTTTTTGTCTTTTTAAGATAGGGGCCTCACTATGCAGTTAAGGCTGGCCTTCAGCTCACTTTGTAGCCCAGGCTGGTTTTGAGCTCACAACAATCCTCCTGCCTCAGCCTCCCGAGCGCTGGGACTACAGGTATGTGTCATCGCACCTGGCTTATGGCTACAATTTTATGTGTCACACATATATCCCTAACCTCAGAAAAGACCAACAATCAAAACACAAAGTATGATTTCTACTGGAAGCACACTGCTCTCACATCACTGTAACTGAAAATTCCCAAGTACAACTCCCACTAGCAAGTCTTGTCAGTGACATCTCCAGAGTGCACACCTCCATCCTGCTGTTGTCACTACAGATGACCAGGCCCCAAGTACTGACAAAGCCTAGCTGATTTCATCTCCACTATTGCTCCACTCCCAGTCTACCCCAGTGACCTGAAAACACAAAAGTGGAGCCAGGTGCAGGAGCCCACACCTGTAATCCCAGCTCTCTGGGAGGCTGAGGCAGAGGGATCATAATTCTGGCCCAGCCTGGGTAAACTAGCATAGCAACACCTTACCCCAAGAAGAAAAAGGCTGAGGATGAAGTTCAGTATGAAGGCTCTGGGTTCTGCCCTCAATGCTGAAGACAGGAGAGAAGAGAAGGGGTGTTGAGACTATGTTGCTATGGCTCTGTGGGATGCTGGTTCAGGACAGCTTCAAAACTAGGACTCCCTGAAGACACCTGAGGACTGGACTCCCATGTTTGGCCCAGGCACAGAGCAGGATACACCTAGGTAACCATGGCTTAGCACAGGCAACTACACATATGCCACACGGTCATGACAGCACACCAGAATGTAAACTTGATAATGGATGAGACAGACAATAAAAATGCTGCTTGCTGGTGGGCTGTGTGCTTTGGAGGACATCACCTGCAAATTTACCCCGTCAGCCATCCCTTTGGCCTTAGCTTCCCACATAGCTACTAGACCTCTAGGCAAAGACCACAATACCTGGCCTCAATAACTTTTAAATGTCAAGGACCCTGAGACTAAAACATTCAAGTGTCTTGATAAATCCTGGTGGATGGAATCTCCATGAATGGAGAAGGAAACCATCAGCCACAGAAATATACACCAGTGCCAAGGAAAATATGTAAATTATGCACTTGTCCCAATTTTTTTATAAAACCACTAAAACTTGATTTCTGGAAACCCACAGAATGTCTCCTCTTCTAAATTCATGAATGATTTCTGAAGGGCAGAGAACAGTACTTGTTTTAAAAAATTGGAATTTAAATGAAATAAGTATGTCGTGCTTAGAAGACAGTCAAGAACAGTTTAAAGTTAGGTATGATAATTAGTTCAAAATTCACATATTTACTATGAGACACTGGATTTAACTTCTTCAAAACAATTTTACATCTAGAAAACAATATATGTCGTGTTACTCTGTACATTAGGACTATTTGTGGAAATATGGTGGGGAAAATTTTTTTTTTTTTTAATTTTTATTTATTTGTGTGTGTGTGTGTGTGTGTGTGTGTGTGTGGCCAGCTCAGCCCACCAGGGGGCGGGGCTGGCTGGCATGTGGTGCTGGGGGATTGAACCGCGGTCCCTGTGCTTTGCTAAGCTTGTTCTAAGTAGGTGCTTTAGACCACTGAGCCATCTCACCAGCCCCGTTTTTTTTTTTTTTTTTTGGGGGGGGGAAAATTTTTAATGGTACTGGGGATTGAACTCAGGCCTCAAGCATGCTAGGCAATTACTTCATTACTGAGTTATATCTTTATTTATTTATTTATTTATTTATTTATTTATTTTGGCTGCCTCAGGATGCCTTCAGGCATTTCTGATTTGGGGAGAGTTTGAACCACAGCATCCTGAGCCTGACTGCTTTGTTTAAGCAGGCACTTAAACAACAGAGCTAATGGGCGGGCCCCCAAAAATGGCAGGAATTTTTTTTTTTTTTTTTTGGTTGCCTCAGGATGCCTTCAGGCATTTCTGGTTTGGCTTGAGTTTGAACCAGAGCATCCTGAGCCTGACTGTTTTGTTTAAGTAGGCACCTAAACAACTGAGCTAATGGGTAGGCCCCCCTCATTTCTTTTTATTGTTCAAGAGTTTTGTTAAATTGCCTAGGCTGGTCTTGAATTTGGCAATCTAGTTACCTCAGCCTCCTCAGTAACCAGGATTACAAGTGTGCACTACTAGGCCTGATTAGATAAAAAACCTTAAAATGAGAAAGTGAACTGAAACAAACAGGAGCATTTATTGTGTATAAAATGTTACAATGGTTATGGATTTCATTTTACAGCCTTATATTTTCCCATGAATTTATTTTGTGCTCTAATAATTGTTTTTAATCCTTAACAATTCTTGTCTGGTATAGTGGCACACACATAAAATCTTAGGACTCTGGGAGGCAGAGGCAAGAGGATTGCAAGTTTGAGCCCAGCCCAGGCAACTCAGACCCTGTCTCAAAATAAAAAAGGGCTGGAGATGCAGTTCAAGTTGAAGGCCATAGATTCAGTCCTCTGAAGGAAAAATAAAAAATTCTACATATGTAAAAGCTGTTTGTAATAAAATGTTTATTTTGTGGCTTCCTGTTATAGATTGGACAATGTTTGTCCCTACTCCATTCATACACTGAAATCCATCCAACACCCTAGTGTATGCAATTAGGCTGTCAGAATGCCCTCACAAATGGAGTCAGCACCCTCATGAAAGTGGCCTTTGCAAGCACTGTGCCTTTGTTGTTTTGATCCAGCAGTTTGTAACTCAGAAGGGAGCCTTCCAGGACAATGCCAGCACCCTCATCCCAGTGCTCCAGACTAGATTGTGAGGAATGCCTTCTTGCTGTTTGTCAGCCACTCTACACTAGCTCTAATGAAGCCACTTCCCAAGGCTTTCACATTATAGTTAGGTATTCCAGCTGATATGTGGATAATGTCATTCATGCAAATAGGCAAAACTCTAATTTGACATAAACCTTTGCTGGTAAAAATGTATGTATGCAACAAAACAAAAAAACCCAAAAAAAAAATCAAAGAAAAAGAAAAAAAAGTGGGGGGGGGGCAGGGAGATGGCTCAGTGGAACAAGAGCTTCCCCAGCAAGCATAAGGGCCTGAGTTCAATCCCCGGTTCCGCAAAAAAAAAAAAAAAAAGTATGTATGCTCAGCTATGTATATACTATATTGAGGACTGAAGCCAAGGCCTTGGTACAGATTTATACCCAACCCTTGTTAAATATTTTAAAATTTCGAGACAAGGTCTTGCTGTCACTAAGTTGCCTGGGCTGGGTTCAGACCTGTGATCTTCCTCAGTCTCCCAGCATCTGAGGATTGTTAAATATAAAAGCTTTAGAAACATCATGTACAATTTCCCTCAGTTAACTCAATTCTTAACAGCTTGATGACCAAAAAAGTAATTTTCCATTAGCAGGTGAATTTTACATTAAAAATAAAACAAACACAACTGAAACAGTTACCAATATATTGTAGTTTAATTGAAACATAGCTTACATAGTTCACTGAAAAAGTATCTTAGTATAAACATTATTTGTACATGAAACCAAATGTGTTGATGCTCTAGTTCTAAAAATCTTAGTTTATCTAAAACACTAAGAAGCAACCTCAATAGTAATTGCTTCACATTTTCCAGTCTCTTGATCTGTGCATGTCACATGTAAAGATCCATCCCTAAACAAAAATAAATAACATCTCATAACTCATTTTGTAAAAACAGAAACTCATTAAGAAGTTACTTCAGGACACTGAATAAGCAACAGCAAATCACAATTTTTGAAAGAAAAATATTAAGATAGAAGAAATACAATATTCATGTCCTTAAATTTAGGTTATGTTATATAGTAGGACATCCTTAGAAATCCCCCTCCTACATTACTGAAACAATAGTTTATTTTTTGCAATCCAGGATGACAAACATCTTAAGACTTTGGTTTTTAGGTTGACTACATGCAAAATAAAGAGTTCATAAAATAAATCAAAATGGAAATGACACTCTTTCTCATAAAATTAAGTTTACAGAGTTTAAACTATCAGGTAAAATACTGTTGACCTCAGAAAAATAAAGATTATTTTCTCCTTTGGTGATTAAGCAATTATCACTAGTAGTGACTGATAAAATCTTTATTTTTAATAAGTAAATTGTCTAGAATGAAAATGGGTAGAAAAAAAACCTCAAAAAGGGGTTAAGTTTTAAAGTGAATTGTCTTAGTATTAAAAGCAGATTCATTTTTGGTACCTTTTCATAGTGAGAACAGCTAATATGTCACGTAATCCATCTTCTTTTTTATCTAAATCCTGGAGTACAACCTGTTTATACAAAAACAACACAAAGATAATTAAGTACTTTGACATAAGAATAATTGGAGGCATCAATTATTGTGAAAGTCCTACACTGAAACAGCATTCAGAGAATAGGACTTAGGCTTGTCAAGTGCAAATGCATTCTCTAGATGAAGCACATGTAAGAAACCTAATGTATTTTTTTTTTTTTTACATCATGTTTTAGATTAAAATAACTGCTTCTAGTTACCTCAGAAAAGACTATTTTTCTTTTTGGTGATTAAGCCCTTATCACTAACGTAAATCATATTTTGGCAAAGAAAGGTATACCAGCAAACCAAATTTGGAGTTTGTCAGTGACTTTTCACACTTTGCTATGATCAAGGTTGGTTACTAAGATAAGCCACTCCTTGTTTTACTCATTGTAAATGAGGTTGGAAGAGATAGGAGCAGAGAGTTTCCTCCAGTTCAGTATTATCTGACTAGCTCTTCTCCTTCTGGTGACTTAAGTTAGTAGGAGGGGGCAGCTGTGGGATGCTGAGTGCCATCTGAGTTTATTTACATATACCACCAAGTTTCCTGGAGAGACTCTGAACCAGCAAGTTCATGATGCCAATTTGGGAAGTCTGAAATATAAGCCACACATGCAGTGCATATGTGTGTATCTTCACTATTGTTTTGTTTTGTTGGTATCAGAAAGGAAGTCATCTAGGACGGGGAGATGGCTCAGTAGAAGAAAGGAAGTCAGATACCCCCCCATTCATGCTCCAGTCTCTTTACACAAATGTCATTATATGCTAAATAGCACTCCTGTGTTCTAGCTGTAATGCAGCTATATTTCTTGGACATGTTTCTAAGTAGCTTCTATGGCTCCACTTCACTATTATAGAGTGCTATTTTAAAAAAGTAATCTTAATCACAGGCAGCATGTTCCAATTGGAACATCACAGGCTCAAGAGTAAAACTAGGTAGAGAATAACAAAGCCAGTTTTTAATTTTTACCCCTTTTGTGATGTTGAGGGTGGAAGACATCAAGCATAGCAGGCAGTGCTCCACAGCTCAGGCGTATCTCGAGCCCTAATAAGTCAGTTTGGCACATAATATCTTACCTATCATTTTGAGATTAGGCTTATAAATTACTGAGTACAGCACCTGGAATTTGGCAAACAAAATATCACCTTCCTAAACCCTTATGTAATTAAAATGGGCCAAGAGCTTAAACAAAGAACCAGAATATGTATTTAAAAAATTCTTCCCCATAACTCTTTCAAATTTAAAATCACATATTCCTTTTCTCTTTCAGCAAGTAGAAGCAATTCATTCATAAAAATGTTGGGTATCAGCTGGGAAGGGTGGCACATGCTTGTGCTCCCAGCATTCTCAGATGCTAAGGCAGAAAGATCACAAGTTTAAGCTCCACTTGGACAATTTAGTTACTCAGTGAGATTTGGCCTCAAAATAAAAATAAATGAATAAAGGGCTGGGGATGTAGCTCAGTGAGAAGGCCCTAGGTTCAATCGCTAGTGCCACATATACACACAGGCACAAATTAGATGTCCTATATACATATTAAATGAGAGATTTAACTGCATCTAATTGAAAAAGAAAAGCTATACAGCTGCATTATGTATTCACCTGTGCAAACTTGGTTTCTTCTTTTGCAGAATTTTCCCCCTCAGATTCGTAAAGCTCAAGGCACACAGAAGACATACTGCCAGGGGCCTGTAAGGTGTGCTGTCTTCGGGCTGGCAAAGGAGTCCCAGAGGGAAACAGTACTGTGAACCTGCTGGCTCCTGATTCATCCACTCTCTACAATCAGGGAGAGAAGATGTATGGCCTTTGACAGTTATCTTTACAGCAATAAAAAAAACCTTTCATTATATATGAAATATACATTTCTTGTTGATCTGGAAAGCAGGCAAAGAAAAAAATACTTAATTCTACCTCCACTTTATTTAGAATTATATAGAAACATGTCTTTGTACTAAAAGCTTATGATTCATTTGGCTAAAAAATTAACACATTAGATAAATATTAACTATATATTAAAACTTTGAGAAACTCATTAAAAATAAAATTATAAACCTAAATTTAAAATTTTTACCAATATACTGTAAAGTCATTGTGGCAATTAATTTGTTTCATTTTTATAGTCAAGTATAGAAAAGCTAAGCATACCTTAACTAAAATATCTCTAGCTGAACACTCTATCATAAGAGAATCCTCCACAGGTTCATTTTGTTTTCCAATAAGAATTCCTGCTTCAGTGGCTGCACCGATAGGGATAACCTCATCAGGAGGGATGGAGTTGAGAAGTTCAACAGCTGGGAACAGATCTTTAATCAACTGCTGTAGCTTTGGGATTCTAGAAGATCCTCCACAAAGGACAACCTAGAAAATAAGTAAATTTTTCAGTTTTTACTTCTAGAAGATTCTTAAAATCAAATGTTAACAGGCTAAGCCATCTTCATCTTATATAATGGTAAAAATTCAAAAAGCTCTATATTTTAATGTACATAACTGATTTCTAAGTATTTGATATATTACTCTACAATGTTAATATATGTATATATAAACATTCTTTACTTGTAACAAAGTTTAAAATGAGAAAATTTCACAGTATAAAATACAGTATAAAACCAGGCATGGTGGTATAGTGCAAACCTGTAACTCCAGCACTCGAGAGGCTTAAGTGAAGGACTGAGCTTGAAGCCAGTCTGGGCTACAAAGCAAGTCTGAGGCTAGCCTTGAATTTCTAAAACCCTGTCTCAAAAAACCTCAAACAAAAAAACCAGAGTAGCAATATTTTTGGTTCACAAATATATGGCTCAACCACAAATAGTCATTTCAATAGAAAATATTCTGTACTGTTTCAACATCTTCTATAATCATGTTTAAATAAATCCCACATCATTTGTGACAAAATACTGCCAAGCCCTAGATCTCTATAAAAACAATGCCATATATCTTTGCCTCTATGGCATTTTTTTTTTTTTTTTTTTTTTAAAGAGAGGGTCTTTCTATGCAGTTCAGGCTGGCCTTGAATTTGCATATGTAGCCTAGTTTGGCCTTGAACTCATGGCAGTCCTCATTCCTCAACCTCTCAAGTGTTACAATTTACAGACATGTGCCACCATACTGGCTTATGACATTATTAAATATCTTCAGGAAAAAGATGTTTTGTAGTGTTACAAAACTACATTTTAAACTTTTGGTACTATCTGGCTAAATCTCCTGCTTGAAGAACTTCATGTAAAACTGCTCCTTTACGAATCTAGGTTTCTCACTGATTCATCCATTTAGCACTTAAGACTGCATGTATATTCATAATACTAGATAAATATAAATATGAACATGGTTAACTACATTGAGACAGGGCCCCACCCTCACAACCCATGTAACCCTAGTTATTTTAAGAGGGCTCCCATCTCCAAACAGAGCCACAATGAGGACTAAGGCTTCAACATATGGACTCTGTAGTGTGGGTGCTGGCCAGCTAAGGATGGAGCACAAAAACACAGAATCCATAACATAACTTTAGCCACTTGGAAATTTAAAAAATGAAGCTAGACAACAAAGAGGAAAATAAAAAGTATCAACTACAGGTGTGGGATTACAGGGATACACGGCAAAAGTATCCAAAAGTATCACAACTATTCTGAAAATTAAAAAAGAGGGGCCAGGGCAGGGATAGCTTAGTGGCATAAGTGCCTGCTTGGTAAGTGCAAGGACCTGAGTACTACAAAACAAAAAAGTGGGGGAGGCAGAGATATAGCTCAGGGGCACAGCACCTTCCTGGCAAGCTTGAGGTCCTGAGTTCAATTCCCAGTATCAAAAATTAAAACAAGAAATAATAAGAGCATGAGAGGGCCCACACTGTTATAGGCTTCAGCCATGAAAATGCATTAACTTTTGGGATACAGGAAAAAAATAATAGCTAAAAAATGTCAAATTAACCTACATGAAAACATGTGAACATAAAAACACATGATGCTGGAGATGATGTTTTAAATTTCAAGTTAAAAAAAGCAAAGTGGGAAAACCAAGAGTACTGAATGTTTGGGCAGAGAATGGACTGCCAAGCATGAATAAATCAGAACTATGGTAACATTTTGTCAAAGTCAGTTCAACGACTTGAGTCAAAATAAACCGTCTTTCTCTGAGGGTGCCTCTGAAGTTCTGAGAGAGAGAGAGAGAGACAGGTGGGGAGAGCAGAAGCTGAGGCCGGTAGTGTTATTACAGCTTCACAAGTGGCTAAGGGGCAATCACATACTTTGTTGACAGGAAAGAGTGGAAAGGAAGCACCAGAAAAGGACTGAGCCAGCTTCCAGCTGCCTTGAGACTCACTCAGCCTCAGCTGGTTAGGACCAGGGAGAGCTCCCCCTCCAAGGTTGATAAGAAGCTGCAGCTAATAAGCATCTAAGATACATCTTCAAAACCCAACCCAAGCATAGAACAGTCTCCTTTTAAGTGTTCTGTGTTGAAAGGGGCCATTTTTTCAGGCAATATAGGCAAAGGAGAAAAGGCTGAATGAATGAATAATGTGAAAATGATAAACTATGAAGAAATGTAATAAAAGAATAATCCCTCATAACCACGTAAGATCTCAGGAATAATCCTTTTAGTGCTAGTGACTAATAACTGACTACTGTACTGGTTGATACATTGTGTAAACTTGAAAGAAGTTTAGTAAAATGACTCAGCAGAGTCAGGATTCTTTGTAAACATCCTTCTTCTGTGCAAGAGGAGGATATGGACATTGTGTGAGCTCTACACTCCTATTCCAGGATAGCCTGCTTATAATAAAAGGAGAGAGAGGCTTGCTACAAGCTGCAGCTGCTGCTTCTCCCTTTGTCGTTGCTGTTTTCTGTCTCCATGAACTGCTGCCCTCTTCCATGTGCTGCTCTAGCTGAGTATGGACTAATACCTCCACTAACTGAGCTAAATAAGCCTTTCCTTCCTTAATTTTGGGTGTTGGGTATTTTGTCCCAGCAACAAGTGAAAAGTAACTGAGACAACCACATGGCTTTAAAACAGTAAGTTCTCGTAAGTATACAAAAATATAGCTCTTAAAAGACCCAACAAGTGAACTTCACATTAAAAAATCTTTTAACCACAGGAAATAAAACAACTTCCATCTTAAAATGATACCCTATTTCCAATCAGTTACAAGTAATGTTTATCCATAAAAGACTAATAGTATTCCCCCAATTAAAAGAAAAAAGAGGCAGTCTCTACAAAAATATTTAAGTTACATATCTGATTGCTGTGAGCACAACAGAAATGAGAGGTACATACGTTAAGGAAAGAGAAGCATTAGCACTCACAGATGTAACACTTCCCCAACATCCCTGGTCACCCATGTCCCTGTGGCCCTTATGATGTGAGTTGTCCTTCACTGTCATCTCCACTTCACCACCTCCTGTTCTACAGCAGACACACTTCAGGAAAGTGTTCATCTCTCCATTTGCCCTACTGCTGCTCTTAAGGCCAAGGATCAATCTTCAGGCCACACCTGCTAGACCTTTAGCTTTTCAAGGTATGACTTGGAGGGCATTCTCACAGGTTTGATGATTCTTGCATGTATAATTTTACCGACAACTAATAAAAAGGCTAGGACCAAACCTTTATGTTTATGGAGTAAGAATACTCATCTAGGCATTTTCAGTGCCTTGCTTTGAAAGATAAGCTACATTAACTTTAAGGTTAAAACTCATATGGTGGGGGACTGTTTAAGGGTGTAAGGTTTTACTAGGAATAAAGGTAGTAGGGTATGGGGTAAAAAGGGAAAAAATGTAATGTTGTACTGACATGAGGGTATAAATATTATAATCACGCCCTATGAGTATTGGGGAGGGTAGGCGTAAAATTGTAATATTCTGTATTTTCTTGTTTTTGGGGTTTGGCAGGATAATAGATATGGTGCATGGGTTATTTGCCCATGTAATATATATATAGAATTTTACGGGGGGTAAGGGGGGTTTGTTAAAAGATACTTATTGGTAAAACAATGCGTGCGTGTGTACGTACGTGTACGTGTGTATACCTTTCAGGACAGTTGTTTCTGTGCTCTTTTGCTGATTTACTTTTACTTGTCTTTCTGGTTCTCTTTCTCCTTGACAGCTGGTCCTAAACGGCCTATATTCTGCCTTCTTCCAACAATTAACTGTTTCCAGCCCCATGGCTCTGTCCTGAGGTCTCTTCTCTGTTGTAGCTCTACTCACCCTGCAAGTGACCTCTCTTTTCTCGTGGCTCTAAGTAGCAGACAGGTGCTGCCAAATAGGAAACTGCTGCCCAGGCCTCGCTTCCCAAAACAGATGCTGGGGTCCACCACTAGTGCACTCTTGTTTAGGCAAAGGCCTACACGTTCCTTACTGGGACCTGGCTCTCTTGCCCTGGAGCTCAGCTGTTCCACCCTGCAGCTTACTCCCTTGCTTCCACCCATACACACTCCTGCTGTTTTTAGTCACAACTGGAGTCTCCCTTCCTGCTATTTCCCTGGCAGACATTCACACAGCCTGCTCTTTCACTTCATCCAAGTCACTTATCAAAAGCCACTTCCTCGGGATCAGACCTAAAAAACCCACCTTGTCTCTGCCACAACCTTTCCTTGCTTTTCTTCACAAGACTTATCACATTGTTTTCTGAACTATTTCTTTATTAACCTGTATGTCCTAATTTAGAACCTCAGTTCTACAAAGGCAATGGCTGTGTTACACTTACTACTGTCCTCCAGTTATGTAGAACCCACCTGGTACACAATGGCACATTCCAGATGAGTAAGCCAAATCAATAGTGATCACATTTATCAGCAAAAACAAATTTGAAAGTAAAGTATAATATAAGTACTGCATGCTAACAGAATGCACCACTGGAGCTCCAAAAATAAAGTACAGAAAAATTTATTTATGACAGCAATAAATTCTACAGCAGTCTTACCCAAAATTAAATGGAAATATCCTTTTAAAAACATTTTTTAAAGGGGCTGGTGAGATGGCTCAGTGGTCTAAAGCGCCTACTTAGAACAAGCTTAGCAAAGCCCAGGGACCGCGGTTCAATCCCCCAGCATCACATGCCAGCCAGCCCTGCCCCCTGGTGGGCTGAGCTGGCCACACACACACACACATAAATAAATAAATTAAAAAAAAAAACAAAAAACATTTTTTAAAAAATGTATTTGGTACGGGATCTCATTACACAGCTTGGACTCATAGTGATCCTTTTCAGCCTCTCCAGTGCTGGGATTACAGGTGTGTACCACCACTCCCAGTCTCAGTGTCCAGCTCAGCCAGGTGGTGGTGGGACTGGTAGGGCATGTGGTGCAGGGGATTGAACCCCAGTCCCTGAGCTTGCCTAAGCAGGCACTTAGTCCACTGAGCATCTCACCAGCCCTTTATAACCACGTAATTTAAGAAAGTACTAAGCAAAATTTGAGTACAGTACAACACCAATGTTGTTATGAATACTAGATTACAGCAAGTTATTACATCATTCACAAGTTTGTTTATAGACTTAAATGCAACTGTATTGAAGTTACAATGAGATTTTTGTGTAAGGATTTGGAAAAATAATTTTAAAACTCCCTGGAAAATAAGATATGTGAAGTCAGTGACAGTGAACCTTTTAGAGATTGAGTACCCAAATTGCAACACCCAAACCATTTATTTATCACAAAGTGCCAACAGGGCAATTAAATCTGAATATTAAGGCATTAGTTTTGGATAATTTATACATTAACATCTTTGGTCTTAAAAGAAAAACACAACACTTGTGCCATAGTTCACTAAGACTTACCTAGGGTTTCACTCCTAATTTTATTCTAACAAAATTAAGAATGTAGGGGCCGGCAAGATAGCTCAGCAGTCTAAAGTGCCTGCTTAGGCAAGCTTAGGCAGGTACAGGGGACCACGGTTCAATCCCTGGTACCACATGCTGTGCTAACCTGGCCCTCAGGGTGGGCTGAGCCAGCAAAAAAAAAAAAAAACAAAAAACAAAAAACAAAAAACCAACACCAAAAAACACCCCAAAACAAAACAACAGAAATACAAAAAACAAAATTAAGAATGTTCACAAGTCACAAAGACTGCCATTTATAAAGTCAAAATAACCTACCTACCCAACATAAAGAATGAGCTCTGGAAATCATGGTATAATACTGCAATAAAATCTTATTGAGCTACTGAAATCTTCAGCCATGTTACTAAGTGCAGGGCTAACCCCATCCACATATCCATGCACCCATCCAAAAGCCTACTAAGCTAACAGTAAGATGCTACAAAGGTGGAAGGACAAAGCAATGGAAAAGAATTTTTTTGTTTGTTTTTGTGGTACCGGGGATTGAACTCAGGATCCTGTGCTTGTTAGGCAAGCACTTATTCCACTGAGCTATCTCCCCGGCCCCTGGAAAAGAGATCTTGAGTAAGATTTCCACACATTTTGGAAGCTGGAAAGGAGAGAGGTAGTACCTTAAAGCAGGTGAAGTCTGGGATAACCAAAGAGATGTGGTGTAACTGAAAATTCCAAGTGGAGATTGGTCCTTGGGAGTGCCCAGCATGAGACAGCCAGGTAAGGTAGGAACTGGAAAGCCAGGGCAGTCTATTTGCACATGGAGTGACTGACCCATAAGCCCCATTTCCAGGCTCAGACAGGTACCTGCAGCATATTCTCTCACAGAGCTAAGACCTTGGATCAGCTGTGGCAGAAGAGGGGGTGGGTGATAAAACAAGGGGAAGAAAGGAAAATGTACACTTCTAGTAAGAACCCTCAGGTTCTCTACTTTCTGACCAAAACCCAGACCTATTCTCCTCATTACAGGAAATTAGAACAGCTAGGCATCATAGTGCACATCTATAATCAGGAGGCTGAAGCAAGAGGATGGCTGCAAATTTAAGGCCACTCAAAAACAAACCCTCAAAGAAAACAACTATCAGAACTACAAATTCAGATACTAAAACTAAATAGGCAACGAATGCACAGAGCCATAAGGAAGCTGGAAAGGAGAGTTGGGTTTTGGAGGCAGAGTGTCAAAATTCTGGGCCTAGTTTATCATTTTTACACACCAGCCTCATAACTGTAAGCTAATTATTTTGCTTTTCTACAAACTTTAGTTTCCTCATTTGAAAGTGAAGACTGCAGAACCTACCTCATGATGCTTTTGTGAGGATTAAATGGCTTTAATGCATGTAACATAGTCCAGTCAGTCATTTCCTCTTCCTGGTAAGAGGGACCCCATCTCCCCCCACTGCTAGGGCTTTGTAGTGCACACCTGTAACAGCAGCATTCTTGGAGGCTGAGGCAGGAAGATCAACAGTTCTAGCCCAGCTCGGGCAAATGAGGGACTTGGCCAGGGCTGAGGATTATAGTATAGAACAAAAACTCTGGGCTTAACCCTGGTACCACACACAGACACAAAAACACTGACACTGAGCAGTGCATGTTCTCAATTGCTCTTCCCTCCACCAACAGAGCTGTATGTGCCCCTAGCCTGAGTCCTAGGAGGAGAGGGGGCAGGAGAGCCATGGCAGCATACGGCGGCAGACCAGCCACCTACAGCTGACAACAGGCAATATGAGAGAGACAAACTGCTCTAGAAACCACTGAGAGTTCCTTGTTGTTTGTTTACACAGAAAGATCAATAAACTAAAGACACCATTTACAATTTTAACTCCCTGTATGCTAAGAATACCTGGAGGGAAAATCTTTGACTACAATCTTCTGTCCCATAGAGCCAGCCAAATAGCTCAGTGGACTAAAGCACCTGCTTAGATAAGGCACAGGGACTGGGGTTTGATCCCTGGCCTGGTTTAGAATTAATATCAGCACTGGGAGGGTCCCAGCCCATAGGCCTGCCTTCTTCCCTGTACTGTACACTGTACTACACTGCCTACCACAGTCCTTTCTGTCCTCCCTCTGATCTCTGGCACTTAACATGCAGGGCTAAAAAAAAAAAACAAAAAAACAGTAAGCACAAAGCCAAGCCAAACAAACTTACTGAACCAATTTACAAAAGAAAGCATTTGTCACACACCACATACCAAGAACATTAAAAATGTAAAAACTTTCAGGCTGGTCAGATAGCTTAGTGGACTAAAGCTCCTGCTTAGGCAGACCGCAGTGGCTAGGGTTCAATCCCTGGCATGCCATGCCATCCCTGCCCCTAGGGTGCACTGAGACTGCAACTGAGACTGGGCATGGTGGTGCATGCCTGTAATCCCAGCACTTGGGAGGCTGAAAACAGGAGAATCACTGCAAGTCCAATCTATATAATAAGGTGCTGTAGACCTTGTACTACATACATGAAAAAAATATGAAAACTTTCAAGCTATAGAGAAGATAAAACAGCATTAATATTTATCACAAAGCTCCGAAAAGCAGCTGAAGTAATTAAGATATGTCAATCAGACAAATACAATCAAACTTCTGTCTTTTGAATACCTTCTTTCATAACAGGTCCAAAATTAAACAGAAGGTGTGTACCTCAAAAAAAAGATGATAGTAAATGGCAAATTAATATTCTAATTAAAGTATTCATATATTAAAAAAACTGTTCAGATTTAAGTGACAAGGACTACCAAATGGGTACACACAAGGGTACAAAATCTAAGCATCTAAAAGTATTCTACTCACCAACAAAATATGATGTTTAAATACATCTTATTTTTTTATTTTTTTAAAAGATATTCTTTTTTTTTTTTTTTTTGGTGGTACCGGGGATTGAAATCAGGCCCTTGCTCTTGCCAGGGAAGCGCTTACTCTACTGAGCCATCTCCCTGGCCAAATACATCTTTTTAAAAGACAGAAATTTATCTTCAAGCAGCAATATTCAATGTCACCAAGATTACAGTAAAAATGTATATTGATTTATTTTGCAAAGTAATGAGGTAAAAAGTCTTAAACTATTTATAACTTTGACCCAGTGATTTTTACTATGGAATTAATCTTAAACATGTTAAAGAATTTGTGTCCAAAGACAAGTGTTTTTCTGTGACGAGAGGTAAAGAGTCACCCTAGGTAACAGGAAAATAAAAAATAGAAAAAATAAAATAGTAAAAACACCCACCCTAGATAAGGAAACAACACAACAGTTCTCTTGTTGGTACATTTCCATTTCTAGCATATGAACAACCTATTTTAAAAAGTGTTGGGGCCAGTGAGATAGCTCAGTGGCCTAAAGCATTTGCTTAGGCAAGCTTAGGCAAAGTGCAGGGACCACATTCGACCCCCCCAGCACCACATGCTGTGCCAGCCCCCCAGGGTGGTCTGAGCAGGCCACCAGAAAAAAAAAGTGTTTATAAGGATGATAAAGTCATATAGGGAAAGGAATTGATTATAATATTAAGGAAAGAGTGAAATTCAAAAGTGAACATATAAAATTCAAAGTTTTTTTTTTTAAAAACCCTATACTACTATAACTTGCATACAAACATGGATATAAAGTGTCATAAAAAATTTTGGAATGTAACACCAGTTGGCTTTTGGTATTTTCTGAATTTTCTTATTGTAACAGTCAATAACTGCTTGAATAATGAAAATGAAAAATATTTTATTTTTTATATGCTCAATAGAAATAATTTTGTAGGCAAGGAAAACATTAAACAATCTGTTTCTGAAAGATGCAGACTTGTTACCTAGGCAAGCAGAAATGTAGTATGTGGTATAGTAAGAACAAACTCAGTAATGATATTGGGTTAAATGTAGGTTCTATTACTTACTAACCATACAACCTAATAAAACAAGGATAAATAACAGAGTCAACCTTACAGAGTTTTTGTGAGTGTTCCACAATTTAATATATGTAAAGCACTTAAAAACAATGCTTTGCACATATGATGCATTTAGGCATCTGTTTATCTCAAAAAAATATATACTGGAAAAAAATTATTCTGTTCTGTTAGAAAACTGAGTGCAGGGGCCAGGGAGATAGCTCAGTAGAATAAGTGCTTGCCTGGCAAGCTCAGGGTCCTGAGTTTGATCCCCGGTCCCCGCAAAAAGAAAAAAAAGAAAATTGAGTGCAGGTATATATAAAATTCAATTCACCAGAGAAACTAAGCAAAATTTAATGATTTTTCCTTATTAATTTCCTGAAAATACATATTTTTCTTGCTATAACAAGAACTATTTTTTAAATTCCAAATCTGAAACTACTTCTAAAATAATCAGGAAAATATAAAAGCATTTACCTTGTTGATATCATCTGCCGTAAATCCACTTTTACCTAAGAGATCTCGGATTGCGTCTATACATTTATTAAACAGTGAAGAACAGAGAAGTTCAAATCTTGCTCTGCATACAACACATGCAAACACAAACATCCATATAAACAGAAAAGACATAGAAAGAAGGCTTAGTTAGTATATCCAACAAACTTCTTTTTCTTTTGAAGATTAATGCCAAATTTAATGTGGTATTCTCTGATAGTGACACATCAGAGAACTTTTAAACAGGGTACCACTGAACAATATGGCATCATGGGGGGGGAGGATATCTCACTTATTCATCCCCCTATGTATGAAGAAATTATTTAATATCAAATTCAAGTGGAAAGCTGTCTCACCCATGATCAACTTATAGACCTTCCAAAAAATCTAAAAATACTCATCTACTATAAGGCATTCCCAACAATAAACAAACCCCAATCAAATAAATCATCATTTGAATTTTTTGTTATTGTATATTACAGCTTTCTTGAATTATTTCTAATTATTTTTCACTTAGCTTGAGAAAACATTACAACCAAATTTAGGCATTTAACACTGCTGGAGAAGCTTGAATTGTGGCATATAATATAATTTGAAGGATTTATGTTCAGTAAGATTATATTGATTTTTAAATCTGTGTTATTTATAAACACTAACACAATGCTTTTTTTTGGCTGAAATGTGTGAAAGGCAAAATTTCCTTAATGATCAATTATATCACCATGTGGCACCTGTTAATACCAGCTATTCAGGAGAATGAGGCAGGAGGATGAAAAGTTTGAGGCTAGCTTGGTGTTATGGTTTGTGTCTACTTGTCCCCCAAAGCCTCATGCAGTCATGGGGCAGAATTCTAGAGTTTGTGATTAACTCATGATCCAGTGCTGGGATTATGGACGTGAGTGCTGCTAGGATTATGGGTGTGAGTACTACACCCAGCGTGGGGCAGAAAGCCTGAATGCAACATAAGGGAGACAGACTTGCTCTCTGTAGCCATTGTTGCTGCTGCTCCTCCCTTTTGCTCTTGCCGTTCTGACATTTTCTGCCACCATAAACTGCTGCCCTCTGCCATGTTCCAGTCTGCCTTGGAGCCAGCTGAGTATGGGCTGAAACCTCCACAAACTGTGAGCTAAGTAAACCTTTCCTTCCTTAACTTTGAGTGTCAGGTATTTGTCCCAGCAATGAGAGAATAGTAACTGAGACACTTGGGTAACTAAGTAAGATGGTGTCTAAAATTTAAAAATCGAAGCAAGGAAGGAAGGAAGGAAGGAAGGTAGGTAGGTTACTTTTTTATTTACTAGTACTAACAATACATACTGAGCACTTGGACAAACTTAGCACTAAGATATACAGTGTAATCCAAAATTACGGTGAATGCTACTGCTGTATGCCATCCACACAGAAAGGCACCCTGAACCTTAGTAACACTGTTTGGTACAATCAGTCAGCTCTGAGCTATGGCTGAGAGAATGTGTGTTTTAGTGTGCCATAAAACACGCATCATTAACGATGCTGTAACATGAAATTTTGTCAGTTTCACTGGTGTTATGCTATCCTGTCACTTAAGATTCCAGCTTAAGAAAAGTCATTATAGGATTGCAAGGAAGATAGCAGAGTGGTGAACAGCATAAAAAGTCTTTCCAAGATTTGGTGTCCAGATATTGGAACATAGCAACATGAGGAACAGAAGCAAGGAAGTGGGTCCCTAGGACCCAACAAAGATCTGAAGTAAGAACTGAAGTTCACGGGGAGAAAAGACCTCAACATACAAGAAAGAGGTAGCAGTTGGGTTTTTCTCCCTGAGCCCTGACTCACTATATGGGAGGACTGGTTCTAACCTGCAGACCCACAATGACTGCTGGCAACCCCAGAGGCCTCCACAGTAGACTGCAGTGGCTGGAAAGTTATTTGAGTTCAGACACTGCCCAGGAGGAAGCTAATGGTCAGTAGCCATTTTGGAGAAGGGCCAACTGAGCTTAGAACTCAGACATCTGCAGGCCAGCTCCATCAAGCAGATCCTAGCTTCAGAGAAAGGCAGAGCCGAGTTCAAGGTGGCAGGAGGCATGTAGTGTTGTAGCTAAACAAGACGGATTCCAGCCTTGCAATCAGAAACTAGCCTGAACTGCAGCAGAACTAAAGGTACAAGTTTGATGAAATCATCCACTACCCTGGCATAAGTCTATAGCTGGCTTGCTGGGACTAGTGGCAAGTAGAGATATGGATTGATGCAGACATAGTCTTAGTTTCTTTTTCCCTGATTATTGTTTTAATCTAAATTATCACAGACTTTTTGCTATATTGTGGGATTGTGGAGCAGTGCACAGTACTGTGTATGTATTTATATGTGTAGCATTTTTGGTTTTAACGATTTTTGCCAAAAAAATTTAAAATGTATTAAAAATATTAATCCTAACATATAAGAATACTAAGTCAAAATAAAATACACTGTTTACAGTATGCATTTCTTTAACAGATAAAACATACTGTGCCATACAGTATATATATGTTGTTAAAATTACACAGGTTTACTAGTTTAGAAAATGGTTAGAAAGGCTGGAGAGATAGCTTGGCAGTCTAAGTGCCTGCCTGGCAAGCACAAGGACCTAGATTCGATCCTTGGTACTGCATGCCCTGCAGGCCCCGCACCATATGGGTCACCAAAACTGGGCAGGGTGGCACACGCCTGCAGTCCCAGCACTTGGGACATTGATACAGGAGATCACTACGAGTCTGCGCTGCACAGAGAGACCCTATACCAAATAAATAAACAAACAAATAATTTATCTAAAAAAAAAATAATTAAGACCATTAGAACTATTTTTGAAAGTGTTGGTAAGGTTTGTAAGAGTGTCGGAAGGGTTTACAAAGCCTTAAACATATATAAATGCTAAAATAAATATAACATTGCTACTTTGCTGCTTTTCACTTATTGCAGGGGTATCTGGAATGTTACCTCAGTGATAAGTGAGAGACCACTGTATACATGGAAGACTTCTCTGAGTAGTAGTTATTACCTAAGAGTAGTCAAAAGTAGCAATAAAGTTATCTGCTATCCTGCCACAGCAGAAAAAGAAAATGATAAGACACTTAAGCAAGATGCACCCCAGACTTAATAGCTTACCAAAGTCAAACCCAGGGGGCAATGAGGCAGAATATAAAAGCCATGCCTAGACTCTCTCTAAGGGGTAACAAGGGAAGTGACAAACCAAATAAATAAGATTTTAAAAAAATAAATCAGAAATAATTTATCAGGTAACTACAGAGATGGTGATCATAATGAAAGACATGATTAATGACCCTAGTGCATATACAGAATAAAAAAGAGCTTAGGAAAATGATGGAAACAAGAATGCCCAACATAGGAAAGAAATGGAATCCATGAAACAGATTCAAACAGATATTCAGGAGATAAAAGCTTCCATCAAAAGTATCCACAATAGGACGAGCCACCGTGTGGACAGAATCTCAGATATTTAAGACAGAATTGTGGTTAGTGATTATGAAAAGAATGATTTCTTAAAAATAGCAAGGGACTACAAGAAATCATCCCAGCAGTTGCTAGATGATACAAAGAAGAATAACTTAAGATTGACTGGAGTCAATGAAAAGTAGCATAAATGACAACAACAACAAAAACCCTATTAATAGAGATCATAGCAGAAAACTATCCAAATGTGGAAAAAGTATTTGAAATACAGGAAAATGAGGCATACAGAACTCCAATTGGTTGTAATTAAGAAAAAAAAAAAAAGGCAGGCAGGGAGATAGCTAGGTGGTCTGCCTGGCAAGTGTAAGGACCTGGGCTTGATCACCAGTACTGCACGCTGCGTTGGCCTGGTACCAAACCAGCCACTGAAGCCAGGCATGGTGGTGCGCACCTACAATCCCAGTGCCGGGGAGGCTGAGACAGGAGGATCACTGTGAGTCTGAGCTGTGTATCGAGACCCTGTATCAAATAAATAAATTAATTAATTAATAAAATAAATCTAAAAAACCTACATCAGGGCATAGAATAGTCAAGATTACAAAAATTCAACATAAGAACAAATCTTAAAAACTATTAGGGAAAAGAAACAAATCACCTATAAAGGAAAGTGCAGCAGAATCAGAGCAGACCTCACAACACAAACTATCAAGTCAAGGAGTGAAGTATTTCAATCCTTAGAAGAAAAATACCTCCAACCCAGACTGATGTATTCTGGAAAACCATCTTTTACAACTGATGGAGAAATAAGATACCTGTGGGACAAAAGACACTTAAGGAAATTAATGACCTCCAATCCAGCACTCCAAAATGTTCTAAAGGTTATTGTAGAAAGAGGTAACAAGGACGACAACTTCGTGAATCCTAACTGAAGGACTCCATCAAGCAAGGCAAGCAATTAAAAGGATGGGGGAAAAAAGAAACAACCAGCAAGAAGGAAAAAAAAAAAAAAATGTAACAAAGATAAGTCAATACATATCAGTTCTAATCATCAATGTTAATGGTCTCAATTCACCAATCAAAAGAAACTGGCAGAATGAATCAAGAGGCAAGAGCCAACAATATACAATATATAAGAAACACAATTCAAAAAGAAATTTGCAGACGCAAAGCCAAAGGATGGAAAATAATACTCCATGTGATAGGAAACTGAAAAAGCAAGAGTATATTTACACACAAAGTGGATTTCAAGCCAAGACTGATTACCTGAGACAAAGACGGTCACCACATATTTGTTAAGGGAACCATCCAAGAGAAAGCAGTAACAATCATAAATATATATACACCAAATACTAGTGCATCCAACCATATACAACACATATTAACAAACATGAAAAATCAAATACTAATACAATTGAAATGTGGAACCTCAATACCCCATTGTCACAAATAGACACACAAACCAGATCCCTTAAAAAAAAAAATCAATGAAGAAACATCAGAGGTGAATCAAACTTTTCAATAAATGGACTGGTAAATGTCGACTGAGTGTGCCACCCCACAATTTCAGAATATGCATTTATCTCAGCTACACCTGGGATGTTCTCCAAAACAGACCACACACAGAATATGCTTAAGTAAATGCAAAAGAACTGAAATGACCC